CCAGCTTAGCTCAGCTCAGCTCAGCTCAGCTTAGCTTAGCTTAGCTTAGCTTAGCTTAGCTTAGCTTAGCTCATCTTAGCTTAGCTTAGCTTAGCTTAGCCTAGCCTAGCCTAGCCTAGCCTAACCTAGCTTAGCTTAGCTTAGCCTAGCTTAGCTTATCTTATCCCATCTTAGCTTAGCTTAGCCTAGCTCAGCGTAGCTTGGCTTGACTTAGCTTATCTTAGCTTGGCTAGCCTAATCAAAGCTAAGCTAAGCTTAGCTTAGCTTAGCATAGCTGAGCTCTTAGCTTAGCTTAGCGCAGCGGTGCATAGCGCAGCGCAGCACTATCACGCCATATCATATCATAGCATAGCCAAGCATAGCATAGCATCGCATCGCATACCTCAGCATAGCATACCATAGCATAGCGCAACACAACATATCATATCATAGCCTAGCATAGCATATCATAGTGCAGCAAATCATAGCATAGCATAACATAGCGCATCATACCACAGCATAGCATATCATATCATATCATAGCGCATCATATCATAACATATCATAGCCTAGCATAACACAGCGCAGCCGAGCGTACCCTAGCATAGCATATCATAGCATAGCGCAGCATAGCGCAGCATATCAACACATAGTATATCGTAACATAGCATAGCGCAGCATAGCATTGCATAGCATAGCATAGCAGCATAACAAAGGCAACACACCAGCAGCAACAGCAAAGCAAAGCACAAGCAACGCAAAGCCGGACCTGCAGTGCTGAACAGCTGAATTCTAGGTAGGGTCGCATTGGGATAATTTTTGGACAGGGATGGTGGGGTGAAGCCGCATCGGGTTGGCTGCGCATGCTCTGGATTTGGAGGCAGAGTGTGTGTGTGTGTGTGTGTGTGTGTGTGTGTGTTTTGTATTGTTTTTTGCAAGGGATGGTGGGGGTCGGTGCCCTCATGGTTCCTGGTTGGCCGCCGGGCGCCTGGGGGAGGGGGTGTACATTAATAGGGAACAGTGATCAAGACATCCCCTAGGTAGCAAGCCGCCTAGCTCACTCCCAGCCGCCCTCCCAACACATAAGTAGCACCTGACCCGCATCGTGTTCAGCGGTCGTCTTTGGATGGGCAGCTAGTGGGAACCAAAACCGACCAAGTGTGCGCAACGCTGGGGCGAGGTGCGCCACGCGTGCCAGGCGCGCCAGGCGCGCCAGGCACCCCTGGGGCCCGAGCGTGCCAGGCACGCCTGGTGCGCCAGATGCGCCGCGTGCTCCGCGTGCGCCAGGTGTGCCGCATACTCCAGCCGCGCCAGGTGCGCCACGGTCGGGGCACGCGCAGAGTGTGTCAGGTGCGCCTGCGCACGTGACAGCATACATTGGGAATGATGTCGGCCCCCACTATCCTTGTCGAACAGCAATGCCCATCATTGAGCCTGGTGGGCCTGCGCACAGCAGGGCATACGCCACCTCCCCCGCCGTCCCTGTCAAAAGCCACTTGAAAGTGATCGCGGGGTGGCCGCGCATGATCCAGATTAGCCGCGAGGTGCATTTTGGTGCGTTTTGTAAGGTTCTCTGGTTAAGTGTGGTAGCCTTGCGCACAGCAGGCAATCTGATGACACCTCCGCCGTCTCTGTCATCAAAAACAAAACAAGGTGCTCGCGGGCCTCGCGAACATGACTCTAAGTGTGCTTCGTATTGTTTTTTGCACAAGGATGGTGTGGGGTGGGCGCATCGGGTTGGCCGCGCATGCTCCACATGTGGAGGCAGAGTGCGTTTTGTATTGTTTCCTGAGAGGGATGATGGGGTGTGCACGCATGGTTCCTGGTTGGCCGCCGGGCGCCTGGGGGAGGGGGTGTACATTAATAGGGAACAGTAATCAAGATACCCTCCCCGCCCTCAAGCCGTCTCGCTCACTCCCACCCGCCCTCCCAACACATATGTAGCACCCGAGCCGCAGCGTGTTCAGCGGTAGTCTTTGGACGGGTGGTTAGTGGGAATTATAACAGACTCGATGTGCGCAACGCTGGGGCGATGCGCGCCAGGCGTGCCAGGCGCGCCATGTGCGCCAGGCACCGTTGTGGCTCAAGCGTGCAAGACACGCCTGGTGCACCAGATGCGCCACGTGCTCCACGCGCGCCAAGTGTGCCACATGCTCCAGCCGTGCCAAGTTCGGGGCACGCGCAGAGTGTACCAGGTGCGCCTGCGCACGTGGCAGTACGCATCCAGAAACGTATCGGCCCTCACCACCTTTGTCGAAAACCAGAGCGCAATCGCGGCGGGGTAGCCATCATAGCGTCTGGTGGGCCTGGACATAGTAGGCAACATGCGAGCACCCCCGCCGTCCAAGGCAAAAACCAAAGCACAGTGATCGCGGGGTGCCCGCCCGCGCATGATCCACATTTAGCCACGAGGTGCATTTTGCATATTTTTGGAAAAGGGATGCCGGCCCTGCGCGCAGCAGGCAATACGCGGGCACCCTCGCCGTCCCTGTCAACAAAAACAATAAAAAGTGCTCGTGGCCCCCTCCCGATCATGACCCAAGATTTTGAGAGGGATGGTGGGGGGCCCGCATTGGTCCTGGTTGGCTGCCGGTCGCCTGGGGGAGTAATCCCTTCTCCGAGTAGGGGAAAAGGGGGGTTTTAGCAGAGAGAATCCACAAGTTCGTTAAACCTCAGACGCCCAGAGGGCTGGTGGGATTACCCGAGGCGTACCCAACCCCTTCTCCACGCGAGGCAAGAACACAACGCCAGATATGCACGATCTGCGCTGACCCCATCTCCGCCGTGCCTCCCACGAGCTTACGGAAATGGCGACAGTTGGGCACTTTCGTAGCCTCCCATAGAGCAGCGATGTCTCGGTTGGATTCGCCGCGAATTAGCGGAGTACGCGAATCCGATTCGCGTACTCCGCTACTCCGCCGTGCCTCCCAGGAGTCCACGACAGTGGCGCGAGGTGCGCTGTTCGCAGTCCCCCAGGGAGCAGCGAGGTCCTGCCTGGATCCGCGCACTCCCCCTCTCCCGCTGCGCCTCACGAGAGTGGCGCCGGGTGCGCAGTTCGCAGTCCCCCAGGGGGCAGCGAGGTCTCAGTCAGGGTGCATTTTTCATTCGGCGAAGGCCATCGAGGAGCATCCTTGATCATTTGACGAAAAAACCACGCACGAAACCGACAAAAAAACACATCGGTTGGGTGCGCGTACTCCCCGACCCCCCCGTGCCTCCCAGGAGCCCACGAAGGTGGCGCCAGTTGCGCAGTCCGCAGCCCCCCAGGGAGCAGCGAGGTCCCGCCTGGGTGCGCGTACTCCGCTTCTTCGCCGTGCCGCCCAGGAGCTCACGAAAGTGGCCACAGCTGCGCAGTTCGCAGCCCTTCAGGGAGCAGCAAGGTCCCGCCTGGGTTCGCGTACTCCCCGACTCCGCCGTGCCTCCCAGGAGCCCACGAAGGTGGCGCCAGTTGCGCAGTCCGCAGCCCCCCAGGGAGCTGCGAGGTCTGGCCTGTGTCTGTTTTACGCCGCTACTCCGCCGTGCCTCCCAGGAGCCCACGAAGGTGGCCACAGGTGCGCAGTTCGCAGCCCCCAGGGAGCAGCGCAGGAGGAGGCAGGAGGCGGGGGGAGGAGGAGAAGGAGACGCGACCGCAGTGCTCGATTCAAAATTAGAACCCAACGAAGGAGGGTTGGTGGAATGAAAAAGCTACTTCCAGGGAGCTGTGGGATCGCCTTGGGACGCTTTGTGGCTATTTTGCGGCTTCTCGGGAGGAGGCCCTGCAACGGCCGGCAGGGCCCGTGCGACGAGGAGCACCAGAGGGGACGGACAGCGCTGGGGAGCGCCGCCGTCGTCTGGACTTTCCCCCTCGGATATCCCGGGTTTTCGCCAAAAGTAAACGGACGGCTTCTTGGCACTCCGAACTCGCCATCGCTCGGACGTCCATCCCTCGTATATTCTCCGGTTTCGTGCGCGCGTTTGTTCGCAAGATGTCCCCGTCGAGAAGAGAGTGCACACGTCCGAGCGATGCCAAGGTCTGGGCCAGGGGCACTTCGGGCAACCCACCGACTCCTCCCCGTCCACTCCTGGGGTTGGTCTCCGGAGAGCGCGGGTGAGCAGGGGCCTTCTTGGAGGGGGCCCGGAGGCTCAGGCTCCCTCGAAGCCGGGAGTCGGGGACGTCCAAGGGGGGGGTGAGGGTCACAGGAGGACAAGTTAGGGGTACTGCTGCCCTCGCCTTGTGTTCGCCTTTTTTGGCCTCCTGGGAGGCCGTCGTCGCCTCTGCTGGGTTCGCAGCGAAAGTTTGGTCAGAATGCATCACGGAGAGGTCCGGGGAGTGGCGGGGCATCGGTGCATGTTGGCTTCCCTGGATGACTAGGAGGGTGGCGGGTATTGTGGCGGGGGCCATGAGATCTTCTCAGATCTCATGGCTCCTCTTTTCCTTCTTTGAAGACTTTCCCTGGTCCCCCCTCGTCCGCGCACATGCCTCGGGCCATGCTTTGCGACCCCCCCCCGTGGACGCCCCCCCTCCTGGACGCCTCCCTCGTGGACTCCCCCAAAGGAGGGCTTCCAGGAAGCTATCTTTCTTGGAAGCTCCCCGGCCCTTTCAAAAGGCCCCCCCTCGCGCCGCCCTTGCCTTGTGGTTCCGCCAGCGGTCGCATCCTTTGCCCCCCCGCCTCCTCCCTCGTCCTCGCCGTCGCCCCGACCTTCACACGAAGGGCTCGCCCTCGGACCCAAGAACCCGACCCGGATGCTCGGGCGGGCCGTCGGCCACGAGCGCCGCGGCCGGTCACGACCGCGCTGGCCTGGGCTACAGCGAGGTCCTGGCACGGCCAGGGATCCCCTGGCGCACGCTCCGCAGTCGAGTTCGACTCGCAGGTCGACTTGCCAGGCCGAGGGTGCCCTCCTGTCCTGCGTGCCGCCTCTCATGTCTGCTGCCTCCCTGGGGCAAGGGCGCTCCGGTGTGAAGGCCGTGTGGCCCTCGGAGGAGTCTTGGGTCCTCTCGCGTGCCCCCTACTGTCCAGCCAGTCTCCGCTTCCTTCGCGCGTTCAAGGGGGGTGGGCTCGGGCTCGCGCCGAGTGCCATGCCGCCGAACGGTGCTGGCTCTGGCTGAGGCGCCGCCTCTCCCTGCGTGCCCGGGCACACGGAGCCATGGGAGGGGGAAGGAGTGTGGTTGGAGGGGGGGAGGGGTTGAGAAGGAGGAAAAGGGGAGGAGGAGGAGGAGGAGGAGAGGAGGAGGAGGAGGTGGGCGGGAGGAGGGGAGAGGGAGGTCAGGTCAGGTTGGTTGGGCAGTCCTCAAGCGCTTTTCGTGGGAGGCAACCGGGGGGTAGCACGGAGGAGGGGAGGAGGAGAGGAGGAGGAGGAGGGGGAGGAGGAGGGGGATGAGGAGGAGAGGAGGAGGAGGAGGAGGAGGAGGAGGAGGAGGAGGAGAGGAGGAGGATGGTGCTCTGCGAGCAGTGGAAGCGCTAGCCTCCCTGCCGGCCCGGCGCTGGGCCCGGGGGGGGGGGGGGGGGGGGCGAGGCCTCTGCCGCGCCGCTGCCCCGCCGCGGAGGGGGGGGCAGGCTGCGCAATCGGGGCCGCAGGCTCTCCGGACGGGCCCCGCGGGGCGACCCGTGCGGACCTCCCCGCGGGGGCGCTCCGCGTGGCGCGGCGCGTGCTCCCTGGCGCCGGCTTTCCGGGGACGAGCTGACTGCAGAGAAGCTCGTGCTGAGCGTGTTTTCCACCACCACCACTATATGTTCGAGGGGGGAAGGAGGAGGGCGAGGAGGAGGAGGAGGACGAAGAGGAGGATGATGATGATGATGATGATGATGATGAGGAGGAGGAGGAGGAGGAGGAGGAGGAGGCGGAGGAGGACACCCCCCTCCAACTTATGGTGGTGGTGGTGGAAAACGCGCCCATCAGCTCGTGCTGAGATCTGCCAGGTGGGTTGGCGCGCTTGCGATGCCCCCGCCGGTGTCGCAGACCTCCAGAGCCCGACTGCCGGCGCGATGACCTCGAGTGCCTGCGCTCCTGGGCAGGCCGTGATGGCACGGTTGCTCCTGGAAGAGTATGCGGGCGTCTCTGGCGTACCTCTCGCATTGGGGTTCTGCGGATTGTCTCGGTATGCCTCCAGGGCCAGGTTCAGCCGGACCCGACTAACAAAAAAAAAGCGCTTGCACCATGTTTCGGATCATGTTTCGACAGCTGGGGTGCCGTTCGTTCTGGCCGGAGGCCGTGGGGCCACGTGGGGAACGGAGCTTGCGCGGATAGGATCTCTCGCGCTGCTCTTTCTGTGAGCCGCAGGGCGCGTGCAGCCCTGGAGAGCGGGGCCACGAGAGGCTAAGAAGGCACCGGTGCGCTCCACTCCTCGGCCCGCCGGCCCGAGAAAAAGGGTGAGAGCTCCAAGAGGAGCGGTGTGCGGCCGGCGAGCTCTGTCGGGGCCGGGCGCCCGCGTCTGCGTTGTCGCTGCCTCTCCCGGCGCTGGCCTCCTCCTCTCCCCCTCCTCCTCCTCCTCCTCCTCCTCCTCCTCCTCCTCCTCTCCTCCTCCCCCTCCTCCTCCTCCTCCCCCTCCTCCTCCTCCTCCTCCTCCTCCTCCTCCTCCTCCTCCTCCTCCTCCTCCTCCTCCTCCTCCTCCTCCTCCTCCTCTTCCCTCCTCCTCCACCAATCGGCGTGCGGCCTCCACCGTTCTGCTGGTTGGGGCCCGCAGTCTGCGGCTGGGACGAGCGATCTGCTGGGTTCCCTTTTGCGTCCCTGCGAGGGCAGGGGGCGTGGCTGGTCAGGTGCGCCCTCGCATTCCTGGGCCCACGCCGCCCAGGGGTCCCTGCGTCTCTACGCCTCCTGCGGGAGGTCCGTTTTCCCTGGGCCCGCGCGGTCTCCTCGCTCCTCCTTCCTCCCCTCCTCTCCAGCTGTCTCCCTTCTCCCTCCTGTCCTGCCCCTCGCCCGCAATTTGCCGCAGTGCAATGTACTGCAGCTGCAATTCAAATGCAACGCAGTGCAATGCAATGCAATGCAAAGCAACAGGGTGCACTGCAATGCAATGCAATGCGATGCAATGCAATGTAATGCAACGCGTCACGTGGCAGCACAGTGTGGGCCGAACGAAAACATTATGCGACGACGACGACGACGATGACGAGGGCCAGTGAGGCGATCAAAACTGTTTACTATCTGTTTGCTATCCTACCCTCCTGGTCGTGCTCCCCCCCTCCCTCCCTCCTCCCTCCTCCATCCTCCCTTTTCCCTCCCCCTTCTCCCTCCTCCCCCTCCCCTCTTCCCCCCCCTCCCTTCTCCTTCCCCACTGCAATGCAGTGTAATTACACTCCTCCTCTCTGCGCCCCCTCCCCTCCTCTCCCTCCACAACTATACAATCTGCATACTACTCTCCCCTCTCCCCTGACGACGTCTGGAAGATATCCGCCGCCCCCGCGTATTGTTTTGTTGGCACACATGATTCCCTGGAAACAGGTTTTCGCTGTTTTTTTTGTCGAAGCCGCTGAAGCGCTGGCCTCATTTTCGGGCTTCCGCTCGTTCCGAATCGTGCTCCCCCTGCAGCGCTGGTCTCGTTTCCGCGCTTCCGCTCGTGCCGAATCGTGCTCCCGCTGCAGCGTTGGCCTCATTTCCGCGCTTCCGCTCGTTCCGAATCGTGCTCCCGCTGCAGCGCTGTCGTCATTATTTCCAGTGCCATGCCACGGCATGGTTGTCGGTCCTTCCAACTACGCCCCCAAATCTAGAAAATTACACATTCGGTGTCGATTCGTTGATTTTCTGGGCCGCAGAAGCCCCCCACTTTGGGGCGTCGCAACGCCATCCTTTGGCATGCTACGCGTTGATCTTCAACACCACGCAATGCCATGTAATGCTATGCCATGCTACGGCATCCGACTTTGCGAATAGAGAGGCTATCTACGCCATGGTGAGGGAGGTGTCGGTGCACGTCCAGCGGAGTTCCTGGCGCACTTTGCTACTGGCGCCTTCGGTGGAGCTCCTATGGGGCCACGATCCTCGTGAGGGGTGTGCCGATATGGCCCGAGGCCGCCATGCGCACTTTGCTACTGGCGCCTTCGGTGGAGCTCCTATGGGGCCACGATCCTCGTGAGGGTGATGATATGATGATGATGATGCTGATGATGATGATGATGTGCTGATGATGCTGATGATGCTGATGCTGATGATGATGATGATGATGATGATGATGATGATGATGATGATGAATGATGAAGATGATGATGATGATGATGATGATGATGATGATGATGATGATGATGAGATGAATGATGATGATGATGATGATGATGATGATGATGATGATGATGATGATGATGATGATATGATGATGATGATGATTGATGATGATGATGATGATGATGATGATGATGATGATGATGATGATGATGATGATGATGATGATGATGAATGATGATGATGATGATGATGATGATGATGATGATGATGATGATGATGATGATGATGATGATGATGATGGTGGTGATGATGATGATGATGATGATGATGATGATGATGATGATGATGATGATGATGGCTGATGATGATGATGATGATGATGGTGGTGGTGATGATGATGACGATGATGCGAGGAGCAGGGTGGGGGCAGCGGGAGGATGAAGGAACGCGGAGCGCTGTCTCTTCAAAACGAGGACCCAGCAACACAGGATGGTTGGGAATAACTATTTTTACCCGCGACCTTTCTCCAGTCCCCTCCCTCTAGAAAAAAAACGTCCTCCATCATCGGAACTTCGTGGTTCCCTTCCATTCCCCTCCCTCCAGAAAAGTAACGACCTCCGTCATCGGAGCTTCTTGGTGGTTCTCCACCCCCCTCCCTCCAGAAGAGAATGCGTTCTCCATCATCGGAGCTTCGTGGTTGTTCTCCACTCCCCCAACTCCGGAAACAAGAAACGATCTCCGTCACCGGAACTTCTTGGTGGTTCTCCCCTCCCCTCCCTCCAGAAGAGAGTGCGCTCTCTCCATCGTCGGCGCTTCGTGGCGGTTCTCCGCTCCCCTCCCCCAGAAACAAGAAACGATCGTCGTCATCGGAGCCTCGTGGTGGTTCTCCCCTCCCCTCCCCTCCCTCCAGAAGAGAGTGCGCTCTCCATCCTCGGCGCTCCGTGGCGGCTCTCCGCTCCCCTCCCTCCGGAAGGAAAAAACACGGTCTCCAGGCCGCTCACCCCCCCGCCCGCGGAGCGGCCCCCACAAGATGGGCGCGGCCGCGGGCGGCGCGGGGCCCGCGCGGGGCGGCGTGCTGGCGCGGCTGGCGTGTGTCCCGTCGAGGCCCCGCGGCGCGGGGCGGGCCGGGGAGCGCCAGCGTCGGAGCGCCCAGCGGCTGCGTGGCCGGCCACAGAGGGGGAGGGGGAGGAGGAGGAGGAGGAGGAGGGGGAGGAGGAGGAGGAGGAGGAGGAGGAGGAGGAGGGGAGGGTGCAGTTGCTCGCTTATGGTAACTGGGGCGAGATGCGTGCCGTTGGAAGCTCCGAGAGGCTCAATACAGTGGAAGCCTATGCCAAGAAACACCCCGGTTGCGTCCAGGGTGCCCTGTTTTTTTGGGGGGGTTTCGATGGTTCTGCTGTGGAAGGCGTGACGTTCCCGCACACCAAAAATCGATGGGCGCCCTGGGGTCTCAGGGTTGGGTTTCTTGTGGAAGGCTTCTCGTGGTCGAGCTCCTGCTGTACCGTTGGGTGCTGCCAAGGGTGCCCCTGGTCCAGGGTGTCCCCAGTATTTTCAGGGCTGAATGCTTTGTACCAGGACCACTTCAGCCACACCATAAATCGATCTAGCCCAAACATTACTGCCCATGTTGGGCATCAGTGGGCAACTCTCTGTTTTGAGTTGGCTGGGGGTCTGAGGTTGCCCAGCACTGGTTCCGGCCAGCGGGAAGGGGAGGTTAGGCTCGGGTTCGGCGATCACGCAACTATCCAAGGCCCCCTTGGAGATGCCAGATCTCTGGTGACATGTTTTTCCCAACCATCGTGTGGTGTTAGGTCCTCGTTCTGAAGAGACGGTCCCTGCGTTATCCTCCTTCCTCCCTCCTCCTCCCCCTCCTCCCCCCTCCCCCTCCTCCTTCCTCGTTGCTTGTCAACCACCCAGTACAGCGTATCGTGGCCCCATAGGGAGCTCCACCGAAAGCCGCGGTGGCAGGTTCGCATGGTGGCCTCGGGCCATTTCGGCACACCCCTCACGAGGATCGTGGCCCCACAGGAGCTCCACTCAAGGCGCCAGTGGCAGGATTCGCATGGCGGCCTCGGGCCATTTCGGCACACCCCTCACGAGGATCGTGGCCCCATAGGGAGCTCCACCGAAAACCCCAGTGGCAGGGTTCGCATGGCGGCCGCCGCTGGTGCTGCTGCAGTGATCGAGCACCCTGCGCCCCCTTCTGATCAGCTATTACCACCCTCCTGGTGCATGGAGGGGACAGCTCACCTGATTGCATTGCAGCGCCCAGGAGTAGACACAGCTCGTTTGGGTTGATCAGTGTGAGTTTGTAGCTGAGTCAGAGAAGCCCACTTGTCTGTTTGCTGTGGATATACTGTCAGTGAAGATTCAGTTGCAGCAGTTTCCCAGGCACGGTAGATGTACGCACTCTCTAGGCAGCCGCGGCGCGTTGATTGGACGTGCCCGAGATGGCCGTTCAGGACAGCCCCTGCTAAGCAGTGCTCAGACAGGCTGCGTGCTTTTCTTGCCTCACATATCCACCAGTTTTATACTGGGGTAGGGGCCTTTCTCGATCCTCGCAATTGCCCGCGGGGCGTGGGGGGGATGTCGCTAGTTTCTTTACCCTAATGGATGCGTGCAGTGCTGCGCGCGCGGGGAGAATTCGGTCGAGATTTTGTCGGATGAAGCTTGCCTATGAAGGAGGGTCGGGTGTAGTCATGGGTGGGATGTTTTGTTGCCGCCCAACATCCGACCTTTTCTGCGAGCGCGCGCCTGCCGCCATCTGAGAGGCAGGACAGGGCCCTCTTGGAGGAGGCTCAGTGCGCCGCTCAGCGGAGGCAGGGCAGGACCCCGTGCGAGGAGGCTCCGTGCGCCGCCGCCGCCGTCGTCGATCTTCCGATCGATGCAATTTGATGCGAAATTCGATGCCGCCTGCGAACATCGTTCCCGTTGGCCGAAACGTCAGAAACGTCGGGGCCCCCTCCCCCTCCAACTTGTGGTGGTGGTGGTCGAACACGGGCCCATCAGATCTTCTCCACGCGGACGTCGCCGGCGCGTCGCCGACGTCGCCGCTGCATCACGGGTCCATCGGCGATGCGCTGGCGGTGCGGCGCGCCCCGTCCAGGAGGCGCGCGGCGGCGATGTGCCGGGGCGACCCGGAGGTCTCGCCCAGACACGGGCGGGCCGAGTTCCTGCTCCGCGTCGGGGAAGGGGGGCTCGCGGTGCCCGCAGGGCCTCGGCCACGCCGCGGATGGGCCACCCAGAGGCCTTGGAGCCTCGGCCGAAGCAGGATTTTCGGATTGGACGACTGGGGATATGAAAATAAGGGGGTGCTCTCGAAATTTGCTGCGAGCAGCTGGTTTCGGCCCCACCGCCTGGTGTTTTCCTCGATGCGCTGGCGCCTCTGGCGGGGGGCGCCGCGTGAGCCGATTCGTGAAGTCCCCCTTGTCTAAGGCCCGCTTCCGTCCAACCCGAAAGCTGTAGGTCCTTCCGTCGGAAGGCCTAGGCCGGAACTGGAAGACAGTTGTGGGAGGTGCACTGGTTGGAAGGAGTCAAGATATGAGGCTTCGGTGGGTGCATGATGTGAGTGAGTTGGTTGGGCCCAGGCGGGTTTAGCTCCAGCCATGCCAGAATAGCGTGGTACTGGCGCGCCCATCGCTTGGCAACATCCCGCGCTTCTGGAACGCAAGTCGCCCCTTCTCCGTCCTTCCAAATTTCTTTCCGCCTCGCGTCGTATTGCGAGGGGTCTGAATCACAAACATCGTTTTTTTTTTTTTTTTTGTTTGTTTTTGTTTTTTTGTTTGTTTTTGTTTTTTTGTTTGTTTTCCTCTCCCAGCTGCCTACGGCGAGTCCTGCCACCGTGCCTGGGCTGCGGGTTAAAAGCGCAGTGGATGTTCGTTGGCATCTCGGGGTTGGCCTCTCGGGGGCCTCTTGAAGGACGTTTTGGGCCTGTTTGGGGCCTCTTGAGGCATCTAGGGGGCTTCTTGAAGGCCCCTTGGGGCCCCTTGGGCGCCTCTTGGGGCCTCGGCCTTTTGAGTGCCTCTCTGGGCCTCCTGGGTCCCCTTGGGGCGGGCGGAAGGCTCGGATTTTCGGTTCGCGTTCCCTCGCTGGGGTACCTTTTGGGGCCGTCTTGGGGCCCTCTGTGGCCGTCTTGGGCGCCTCTTGGGCCGTCTTTGGGCGCTCTTGGGCTGTGTTGGGGCCCTCTTGGAGGCCTCTTGGGCCGTTTTGGGGTGGTCTTGGGGGCTTCTCGGGCCGTCTTGGCACGTCGCGAGGCGGTGAAGGCGAGAACCCCAACATCTTGCAAAAGCGCAGAAAGGGTATCCGTGATTTTTGCCTTGGGGGGCCCTCGTGTGAGACCTGTTGGAGGCATCTTTGGGCGCCTTGGAGGCCTCCTGCGCCGTCCCGAGGCCGCCCTGAGCGTCTTCGAGCGACCGTGCGGCGCCTTGGGGCCCTCCTGGACCCTCCTGGGGGCCTCCTGGGCCGGCGTGAAAGCTTTGGAGAGCGCCAGGGAGGCGCCATGGCCGCCCGTGGACCCCTTGGGAGTATATGGCCGGTGCGCGCGGCGAGGCGCCTCCAGAAGAGGTGGGGGCCCTTTGGAAGACTACGGGCGCCCTGCAGACAGCGCTTGCTGGGCGTCAGCGGCGCGGCGCGGGTGCGGCGCGGCGGCGCGACCGAAACGGGCAATGGTTTGGAAAGCCCGGCCCCGCCAGGATTCCATCAAAACCATGAACGCTGGAAAAAATATAAAAAGAAAAATCAAAACATCATACGACATTTCAGAAATACTCAAGAGGTAATATGAATATATACAATCATACAATTGAGATAAGTAGCAATTTATTGAAATATTAAGAATATGAATATTGACGATAATCAAATATTATAGAATATTGTAAAATAATGCATTGATTATGTATATATATACATATATATGTATATATATAGCGCTTGAGCAATCTAGACGGATTGGCGGGGTTGGACGGGGTGGACAACAGACGGGGGGATGTCAATGGAATCTTGGTGTGGTCGCGGAGAGTATCTCACGTAACGCAACGCGCGCGGTGAGGATCCGCGATTTTGCCGCGGCTGCTAGAGGAAGAGGAAGACAGGGCGTAGGAAACGGAAGAGAAGGAGGAGGAAGAGGAGGAGGAGGAGGAGGAGGAGGAGGGTCAAGAGGAGGCCGCACACTGGGGCCACACGCAGACCCAAACGAGACCTCGCCATCCATGGGGGGCTGTGAAGTGTGAAACTGTTGCCACTTTCGAGGGCTGCTGGGGGGGCACGCGCAGTGGGGCCCCACGCAGACCAAACAAAAACCTCGCCATGACCGTCCTGAGGATAAAACCCCAGGATTATGTCTGGGGTCCGTGTTCCTGGATGCCTCCCGTCCTAGTAGACAGGGTCGGAAGGTCGCGCCTGCGTCGGAGATGCATCGGCGGCATCGACAAGGACACACCGCGCGGCATGGACGATGCATCGGCGATGCCGCGCGATGCACGGCGCATTCTTCATCGTCTCTTCCCCCAGGGATCCCTGGGAGAAGAGACGATGATGCCCGATGCAGCCTGCGTCCCTCTCGTCATCGTCGTCGTCGGCGACGGCCGTCCCCTCGCGCTCGCCGCCGTCTCTGGCACCGTGCGTGTCGCGGCCGCGCGGGGTGGCGCAATGGCCGAGGCCGCGCGCCATGAGCGCGGAGGGGGGGCGAGAGCCGCCGCGGATCGAGGAGATCCGCCGAGGTTTGGCGGCCGTGGCCCCGCTGTCGCCGGCGGCCCCAGCGGCGGCCGCGCGGCCGTCGCGGCTGGACGAGCTGCGCCGCGGGCTGGGCGCCGCCGCTGGCGTGGTGGCGCCAGCAGCGGCTAGGCGGGCCGCGGCTGCGCCGGGGCCCTGGGGCGGGGATCTCAGGAGATCTCGAGCATGGGCTGACCACCTCAACCAATGCAAACGCACTCGCAAGGCAGAGCGAGAGCGGGATGAGGCCGTCGACGATTCAGTTGGCTGCGCCACGCCCGCCTTGGAGACCCCCCGGATGGGGGGGAGGCAGGAGAGGGTGGGGGGAAGGACGGCAGGGCGCAAGCGTGGACAGGGTGGAAGACGGGGGTGAGGAGGAGGAGGTGGCGGGATGAGAAGAACGACGACGATCAGGAGAAGAAGAAGGGGGAGGGGAGGGCGCGGCGCGGCCGAGGGTGGGAGGGGCATGAGGATGACGAGGGCGGCGAGAGAGCATGAAAGGTCCATTTCGTTTGAAGTTGTGCATTGCGTTGCATTGCATTGCCGCATTGGGTTCGAATGGCGTTTTTGCTGTTGCGTTGATTCGCGTTGTTTTGCATTGCTGTTGAGTTGTGTGCGTTGCTGTTGTCCGTGACGCCAGGGCCCTCCACTGGTCGCGAGGGGGCGGGGCGTCGCGTGATTGCCAGGCATTGGAACAATGAGAGGATTCGGCACGGCGATAAGATGACAGACGCGCTGAACGACCCCACCCCTCGGCACCCGAACCAATATGACCCGATGGTTGTCTTGCTAAACTCATGGAGACAGATAGGGAAATCTTCCACGTGCAGGGCTGGGATAGATGGGACACATCGGGAACTCAGCATGCTCAGCGTTTCGGCTTCCGTGATTAAGTCTCGCCAGAGTAGGTTCGTGTCGGACGAGCTCGCCAGGATAGAGGGGTGCCCCGTGTTCTGTTCTTTCTACGACACAACGCCTGTGCGATTGGGATTCGGACGGGCCCAGGACGCCGTGATGCCCCACGCTTTGTATTCTGTCCCTGACCCAGAGAATGTTGGAAGATGGAAGCTGGTCCGTTATGGTGAGTACAGGCGTTTGAACCCGTCGAAACCCATCCCGAGATTTGGAACGTTGGAGGTGTTCGCCCATGGTGTTACATGCCATTACATTCGCCCTTCCATGGAGATCGACGGTTTCAGGGCGTTTTCGATGCCCAGAGCATTGCAGTCGAATGGCAGCAGCGTCCTCCTGAGGGCAACCGAGAGCGCGGTGCCCGAGCTCTCCCGCGACGGGATCGCGGAGGTTGCCAAGCGGGTCCCCTATTCGCTGGTGGTGGAGGCATTATGTCGTTCTGATTGTCGTCGACTCATTCGCTCTCTACAGCCACGTCGCAGTGTCCACTTAGGCTCAACGCCATTCTGTTCTCTCCACCTCGACTTCTTATTCCGTGCCCTTGTCCCCCCTTCGCTCTTATACCCCCTCTGGTGCGTGACGCTGGTTTCGGCCGATTCTGCGGCGTCCTCATACATGGCCAACGGAAAGGGGGTTAACCCGTGGGAAGCGTCACCAGGTGCGTCGCTGTCGGTGTCGCCCCTTGGCTGACTTGTCGCGGGAGGTGTTGCGGTGCCGGCGGGTCGAGGTTCATTTGTTGGCACCTTAGGGCGCCTCAGGATTCATCTTGAAGTATTAAGCCCAACTGGAGCTGAGAGTTTCAGTCGGAACCTCGTGGATCTTCGCGTAGCCTCCCTTGCCCCCATGGCGCATGGGCTTATCTTGTGGGCCCTTCGGCTCTCGGAGAAGCCGCGATGCCCCGGCGGGTTCAACGGGCTGGGATTGGCCCACGAGGCCTCGCGATCTCAATGGGCTTAGATAAGGCCCGAAACGTCGGCGGGGGGGCGGTCTTAGCAGGCCTCGGGGAGTTGGGCAAAGCGTTTCTGGGGGGGCCTCGATCGAGTGGAGTCCAAGAGGACCCCAGGTCGATGGTATCATCCCGCAGTCGTCTGAGGTGCGCGGTTCATCCTTTCGTCCTCCCTTCTTCTTCCTCTATCGCCCCATTGTCCCATTGTTTATCATCCTCCCCTTCGTGCTCTTCCTTCCCTTCTCCTTCCCCTCGCCCCCCTGGTGCTGTTGCTGCTGCTGCTGCAACTCTTTCACCTCCCATCGCCTTGCCTCGAATCCCGATGCCGCCTTCGGTCCGCCGCCTGACTTCTTCTGGATGGCCTCTTGTGGGGCTGTGCTTAATCTGCTGGATATGTAAGGTTAGTTGGTGTTCTATGCAACCGCACCTTCGGAGGCCCATCGTTCTGCGTTGCCAGAGTTACCCTGCCCTGCCGCGGCCGCCCCGCCATGCCCCTTCTTTCCTGCCTACCCCAGGCGCCGGATGATCATTCGGCAAACCGTCGTAGGAAGCAGAAGTACTTCTCTGGCCTGCCAGCCAACACTTTTGCCGTGGATTGGAAATGTTCTGCGCACCAGGGGCACAGGGTGATCGAGAATCGTGAGCGGGAAGTGATTGGAAACGTTCACGCTGTGCGCGTTACTTGCTCGCAACCGCACTGGCAAAACAAGTTTCAGCAGGCTTTGAAGCAGATCATCCGTGAGGACCTGGCGTCGGGCGGTTTTCAGATTCAAGTGCCAGTGCCGCGGTGGCAGGCGCGGAACGATAGCTTGTTTTCCAGGACTTATCTCAGGAGACGCACGATGGTGACCGCAGACATACTGGACTTATCAACCCCAATGGACCTCGTCTCCGACTCTGCCGCCGCAAAATTCCTTCTGAAATGGAACGGGGATTGGACGTTGCCCAAGGTATCTCACTACTGCAGCGGGCCAGACTGCTGCGGGGGCCTCGACGACGCATGCGATCAGTTATTCGGGGCGGCCATCGAGATTGATCTGCTGATGTCGAAAGACACTGGGGCCCCTAGCTTGGACGATTGGTTCACATGTGGTGAGGTCTGCGGCAAGGTCGGCCTCGGGGCGTTGTGCCACAGAGTCCTCGGTCGCGTCATCGACCTCGCATTGCCCAACCCATCGTTGGGCATGCGGCGGCCGGCACGGGCAGAGAACGCTGGCGAGAGGGCCAGGCGCATAGGACAGAAGAAAGCATGGCGGGGCAAGTATTTCCTGAAGGATGACGAGAAGCTCGCTCGAATGCTCATCGTGTGATTCTACGGCGTCCACGTCGAGAGGCTCGTGGCAGAGTTGCAACATCGAGACGCACATTCGAAAGTGCTGTGCGACACCGTGAACGATACGTCCTTTCTTAATCCGTTTTACGTGTGCCGTTCTCGAATTTCCAGTGAGTTGGTTGCGGGCAGAGGCGCGGATATAGGTCACATATTTGATTACTATGACGTCGGCAAGCACAACTTCTTGTGGTCGGAGATGCGTGGTATTGGATTGGACATGGCTTCGCAAGTGAAGTGGCGATATCTCCCGCTTGAGGGCTACCCGCTCAAGCTGGTTGGGATGGTCCACCCTGGCCTCTCTGAAGCTCAGCGTCGGCGGCGCGCAGATGCTTTCTTCGAGTTGGAGCCGTGCTGCCTGGAGCCGTTCTTCGCAGCCAAAGTCCGACGGGCGTTCCCGTCCGCCGATGCCATGTTCAGAGATAGTGATTTCAGGCGGATGTTGATTAGCCTCGCCGTGGTCTTCAAATTCTGTAATATGTGGTGCGAGCGGTTGCTGGCCTTGTGCAGGAACGCAACCAATCACGAGAAGGGCGTAGACATTGAGCGTTTCTGTTGCACGGGGTTTCTGGCGCAGCTCTTATCCCAGCATCGCAAGAACGGGGGCGACGACCCTAGATGCCCCACGCGGGCTCAATTGATTGAAGACGGTGCCCCAGTCATTGCTCAGCCTCGCCAGCGGAAAGGCCAGGTATCAGGTGTCTTCGTTCATTGGTTGTCAAAGCAGGAGAGGGTGAGAAAGCAGAGCGGCCCCCCGATGAACAAAGACGAGTACGCGGCGTGGAGACGGACCAAGGTCACTGAGTTCCACGAGCCGACCCAGCAGCAGATCGACGCCGAGAAGGCGGAGGCCGACCGCGAGTGCGCACTCAAGCGCCTCGAGGCCGACGATGAGCTCCCCGTGGACGGTCTCCCCCTTGGCTCCCGCGGCGTGTTGCAGACGATCTTGGAGGCGCGCGGGAATACTCGGACGCCCTTTGCCCCAGAAGAGTTCGAGGCAGAGGTCGAGCGGCTTCTGGGAGGACTTGGCCGCCGGGACTTCGGGCTGCGAAAGATCCCGCCCCAGTGCCCACCCACTCCTGTTGGCTTAGCCTTTGCCCTCGGTTCCCAGGTCGTTTGCTCCACTGTCTCCTCCTCGGGTCGGGGCCTCGTGCTCTCGGGGCCATCGCAGCCCCGTCCCAGGTCTTTCGGGATGTTCGTGTGTTGCCGTGGCTGTTCTTGGGCAGCGCGGGCGTTGAAATCTCGCAGGGGGCCCATGGCCCCATGGTTTCGCGCCGTTTTGATGCAGGGCGGGGCCCCCATGGGGCCCGACGGGGAGGGCGAGGAGGAGGGGTGCGAGGGGGGGGAGGAGGGGGAGCAGGAGTAGGAGGAGGAGCGGGAGCAGGAGGGACAAGAGGAGCAGCAGGAACAGGAAGAGGAGGGGAGGAGGGGGAGGAGGAGGAGGCTCAGTAACCAACTCCAAGTTGCACTCCCCGCCCGCTCTGGTCTTCGAGTTAAGCGTCGCGTTATGTGTGTCATCGTGCCTCCCTCCCCCCGCCGCCGCAGCCACCCCCTCCTCCTCCTCCTCCTCGTCCTCGTCCTCCTCCCCCTCCTCCTCCTCCTCCTCCTCATCCCCGTCCTCCTCCTCCCTCTCCCTCTCCTTCTCCTCCTCCTCCTCCTCCTCCTCCTCCTCCACCCCTCATCTCCTTCCCGTTGTTTTCGCCCTCGGCCTCGCCGCGCCCATTGCCGTCCACTCCCCCACCCCCCCAGACCACTCGGCGGGGGTTGTGGCACGGCTTCCCAGGGCGGCGCGACAGTAATCGCGCCTCGCACTACTGGCCTGGACCGTAGAGCTGTCCCTTCTGCAGCGGGTGACCGAAAGCTAGCATGAATCCGCGCCGCGGTGGGTTCCATATAATATGGTCTATAGTATATGGAACTCACCGCGGCTCGGATTCATGCTAGCTGCCCCAGTTGCGGATATCACAGAGGAGACCGCAGCTGCCCCTGGGTTCACGAGGTACGAATCGACTGCCCGAGAGATGATCGCTCGGGACATGTTCGTGTCCGACTCTGGGGACATCGCCGACGACGAAGTTTTCGACTATTACGTTCCATGCGCGTGTGCGCATCCAGAGCTGTGCGCATCGAAAGACGCTGGCAGATTGCCGCTGTTGCTGGAGGCGGCGAGGGGATTGCGGCAGCAGCTCACGAAAGATTCGACTGGTCATTTCTTCTGTTTGAGGTTCGTTGGCCCGCAGGTTGACGCGGCGGCGTGGTTCTGTGCTGCCTGCGTTCGGCTTAGCAACCCTGCGGTGGCTATACTATGCCCGGCGCTGATGGACGTCGATCGCCGCCGCGTCCAGCTTGACTTTTGGGACGGCGTGGAGTTAGAGTATCTTGTTGACGTTTCCTTCCTAGGCAGGTATCTCGGCCACGATGAGGACGTTGAGATCACCAACATATTTCTGTCTGCCGCTGCCATCGACCAGGAGATGCTCGCCGACTCTGCGGCGGCTGTTTTCTTGGTCGACGACTGGAGGTCCCGCTTGTTCAACAGCGAGCAGCCTGTCTTTCCTCCCCGGGGCCGTCTCCGCCAGGCACGGGGCAAGAAGGCCCGCAAGGCCGATGGCGACGCCATGGCCGACATGAGAAGAGGCATCAGGGCGCTTGGCGGAGACGGCGACAAGATCAGGATCAGGCGGCCGAAGCCAGAGGGGCATGGCTCAGATGATGAGCTCTGGAACGACTTCGGTTCTGGTGGCAGCTCTGGCAGCTTGTCTCCTCCCAACGACGGAGATAGCAGCTCGGGCGCCGACGGGCCCCCCGTCGCTGGCATTAAGAGGCCCCAGCCGGCCGAGAAAGAAGTCAGGAAGGTCCCTTTCGGTCCGTGGACGGTCAGCGAGGTCTGGAGCGAGGGCGTCCACGTCGGCTTCGGCGGCAACTGCAATTGCCACCTTGACGCGGGCAAGGACTTGCGCTGCAAGCGGAACATTACTTTCGCTGGCATGTCCGTCGTGGCGACGCGTTGCCTCGCCAAGCAGTGGCTCCTCATGGGCGTCGGCCTGGCTGGCGACGACGCCCGATCACAGCACGTAAAGGGCATCCCTCGGGCCGAGATCCCGATTCGAGACGAGGCCGAGCTCGACGCTGCGGCCTTGGCGTTGTTGTGACAAAACAGGAGGGCGGCGCCAGGGGGGATAGCACAGGCGCCAGCTCCAAGACATTAATCGCTTCGCTCATTCCGCCCGCCCACGCGGTCTCATGTCTGCC